AATTGATCCCGATTATGAAGGTGAAATAAAAATTATAGCCAGTTCTCCAAAGGGTATATCAGTAATTTCACCAGGAGATAGAATAGCACAGTTACTAATAATACCCAGCCTACATGATAAATTTTCCAGTTGTACTGTAGAAAGAGGTTCCAAGGGATTAGGCTCCACAGGTGTAGATTGGGCTATGCTTTCTTTAAATTTAGATTCTCGCCCCATGCTACAACTAAATATTCAGGGACATGAATTTAATGGGCTACTGGATACAGGTGCAGACCTTAGCATCATCTCTCGTCAAGAATAGCCAAAACATTGGCCATCACAACAAGCCACTCAAACGCTTCGAGGCCTAGGAGTGGCGACTAATCCCCATAGAAGTGCAATGGTACCAACCTAAGGACCATATGTACTATTGGACAACCTAAGGCAGGCACGGTCCCTAAGCCACATGCTTGTTGTTTAAACAGAGAGGGGGAGATGTTGAGAGCCACAGCCGAAGGGGCCCCAGCAAACTTCCAGCTGCCAGCAAACTTCCAGCTGCCGGCTGATGATTGGCTCACAGCGGCCCCAGCAACATCTAGCTGATTGGCTCCTCTGCGGTGATGCTCATTGGGCTGTTTCCCTGCCCTTTCAGACCACGGAGCTGCTCATTGGGGGACTTTTTTGGCTCCGCCCACGTGACCCAGCCAATCGGCCTCAAGAGCAGGAGGATTGTGGGAGGTGGGGAGAAGCTTGTGTGGGAGAGAGAGGCTTGTGGAAAGCCGGTGGTGGCAGTTGAGGCTCTGAGGGTTTTTCCTGAGAGGCTGTTTTGTTTGGCGTGTGTGGTTCTAAAAATAAAGTTAGTTTCTTTTGACAAGTGGCTCCTGATTGTGCCCAGCCAGACTGCGGCAATTACTGAATCTGGATAGTTCTAGAAGTCCCTTGACAGTATTAAAAAGAAAAGAGGCAGAGAAATTTAACATGAATTTAGTTAATTATTTCTGGTGGGAGGCAGACCTCATAATCATAAGTGTGAAGTATTGTTATAAACAAACATTTCAAAGATCACTAATAAAAGGGGGATTACTAAGTGGCTACAAATATATGATTATAGGCTGATGGAAAAGCCAGCTGCCTTGTTGCTGTGAACGTGGCAGTGTGGTGGGTTGGGGTAGCACTTCCAGTACCAACATCCTACAGGGTTCACTGGGGGCTGCGTCCCATCCTCTGGACACCTAGTGAGGGTGACATGCTCTGGGTGGTCAGCCTCACTCAGGTGGATGAGTGTGCTTTTGTTGATACAAGGGAAGGATTTCAGAAAGAAATTATTTCATAGGCTGGGTGGGAAACTAATGTTTTTAAATAGGATTTTAAATTTAAGTATGTGTGTATAAATAAATTAATAAAGGTTATGAATGATGATTTGACTACGTCCCTAAAAATTATAAATTTCATTTGGCATATGCCATTACTGTGCATTGTCTCATTGGCTGACTGCCTTTAGTACAAGAGCCACTTTTTATTCCTGATTTCCTGGGTTGTGTGGTAATTCTTTCTATCGCTCCTTAGAGGACTTGAAAGAAGAGGAAGGGAGAGGAGTTTGCTCCGGGCTCCCTCGCTTTCTTTTCCTCTCTTTACTTGTTGCTGCCCCTGGTGAGGCGCCAGGCCCTGGGCTGGGGGCTCCAGAGTATGCCAGATCCTGATGCCGTCCTCAGGCAGGTCACAGTTGGCAGACCTGTTTGTCTCGGGGAGGACTGGGCATTTTGATTCACACTTGCAGTGTCTGTGATTTGCTTCTTGCTGCATAAGTATATTCCCTGGAACATATTAATTTATCTTTAAGTAGATTTATTACATGAAATATTCATTGGAGTAGGCTTCACAGTACAGCTCTTAGAACAAATGTACTGAGTACAGTTTGTCCTCATAAATCTATTAATGCTGATAGATGCAGTTGTTGCCTGGGAAGCTTTGGGGTGATGTGGGGCTGGTGGGGAGGATGCTGGCTGCCAATTCCTCTCTACCTCCCCAAGCTTGGCTGCAGCTGCAGCAGGCCCTGCTCTGTGCACAGTGCACAGCCTTTCTCTTCCTGTTGAATGGATGTAGAGGCTCCTCTTCTGTGAGAGCCCTTTGGTCAGCTTCCAACTTCTTGTGTCACTCCAGCTCCCATTGGTGGAGGAGACGGGATAAGGCTCAGAGGAAAAGCTGGCTCAGAGCTGTGACTGGTCTGTGAGGAGTGGGGACTCAGGGGACCAGAGGACAGGCACAGGATGCTAAGGCTTAGGAATAAAAGCAGTGTCACAACCCCTGAGCTGGATGCTTGTTCCAGATAACCCTACTGGCCAGCATAGGAGGTAGTTGTTGTCACTCCCATATTACCGGTGAAGAAGCCGAGGCAGAGAAGCCTAGTCGCTTGCCCTAAGTGCAGTTCTGTAGCAAACTTATGTTGATAGCCTTGCATTTATATGGCCAGGGTCTGGACACAGGGCATGTGACAGTCGTAGCCTCTGACCTCAAGGAGTGTCCCCTCCTGCAGATATGGAGACACAGACCTGGGGAGCAAGTGCCACAAGAGCAGTGGAGCCCTGTGTGAAATGGGGTGCAGGAAGGCCCTGGTGGATTGTGGGAGGCTATGGGAAGCTGGAGAGGAAGCTTGGAAGACTGGATAGGAGTTTACCAGGCAGATGGGGGCTGGAAGAAGGAGTTCCAGACATGGGAAGAGCAAGGACAGGTATAGGAGGACATAGGATATAAAGGGGTGGCCAGCAGGTGGATCAGTTCTGTTCAATCCCAAAGGGCGGTGTCGGGAAGTAGGCAAGACCACTATTATAGAAGCTCCTAGTCGTTGCTGGGAAGTTTGAGCTGTAGCTGAGGGCACCAGGGTGCATGGGAGGCTTTGAGAGCAAGAGAGAGAGATGAATTTTGTCTATTTGGAGAACATTTGCAGAGGTACAGCAAAGGCTGCTTGGAGGGGGTGAAGTAAGCCTGTCAGAGAGGTCACAGACAGGGTATGTCATTTAGGATTTATATTGGGAAATAGCAGGAACTGGTCTCCATTCCCCATCTCAGGCGCGAGGCCATGGAGATGAAAAGGTCAAAGTGAAACAAAGAAACAAAAACCCAACAGCAGCAATGACAGCAGCAACAAAAAGCCCAGAAAAGGGATAAAGGGACTCATCTGCCAACTCAACCAGTATCTTAGAAATGTCTGGAAACTTCCAAAGGACTTTTATAAAACAATACAAGGTTAAACAAAACAAGTTTTATATAAAACAAGTTTTAGTGAATGATGAGGACCAAGGTGGTATAAATGTTTTTCCAAGTTTGATAGTATTTTAGAAATTTAAGGAGACCTAAGACAAAAGCAACCATGTGAACTAAGAGAAATATTGTTAAGGAGAGATATAAGAGAAACAGAAGTGAGAGAGATATTTCTGAGAAGACCAAAAATAGAACCCCAATTAGGGAAAAGCAGGTGGAGCAACTTAGCATCATCTCAGGTCTGTGAAGATGATCTAAGGCTCGGGAAGTGCAGGGAGTGCAGGAGGCTCGAAACCAGGGCAGTGGGTGATGGAATGGAGCCCACCAGTCTGAGAACTTCTCAGGCACTGCCCACTGCTGACCTCTCTGCTGCTGGTCGGGCCGCTGTCAGCATGAATAGGCCAGTCATGTGATCACGTGGCTTCCCCTTTTGCTGCTGGCACCTGTTCAGGTGGATTCTTGGGCTGGGAGTTGGTGTAGTGGTGATGCAGGCGGCACCTAGTAGGCTTGTCCTGTCCTGTCAGATACCAGGGAAGAGGGCAGGAGGAGGGGGCCACCAGCAGATATCCTAGAAGGGCAGAGGAAGGAGGGGAAACATCCAGGCTTCTGCCTTGAGTGCTTGTTGGGTGTAGAGGAATGACTCAGATGCTCTGGGGCACCAGGAGCAATGGGAAAAACCTGCAAGACAGATGTGAGCAGAGCACATGGTATTGTGATATCGTACAAGGCTACGGCTGGTGTGGGATGGACTTTAACTTTCTGGAATAGTGTCAGGCAGGAAAATCAACTGAGGGTCCTATCAGTACTCCTGTCTACCATCATCCTAGGACACGGCATCTCCCTCCCTTGCTGGTCACTGATCAGGAGAGGATGTGTTCATAGAGGAAGGAACCTGGGGCTGATCTGGACACCAGAGTCAAGTCCTGACTCTGCATTTGTTAGCTATGTGACTGTGGCAGTGGAACCTCTCTGGGCATCTGCTTCCTCATTTGTAATTTGGAAGGTACAACACTGATGCCTGTCTCTCGGAAGCCTTGGGCTATCATGGGGATCAGAGAGCATGTGGGAGAGCAATTTGCAGAGCTGTGGCTGGTGGCACCTCCAAACCTCCAAGTGCTTTGAGGGTTAGTGGCAACTTGTTATTTCTTACACTTCTCATAGTCCCTCAGAGTTTCTGAACACTCAAGAAATGCAGGTTGAGTTGGCAGATAAGTCTGCCTCAGTGCTCAGCATTTTCTTGGTTCCTTTTTCCGGTTGCCAGTATTCTCAGTGTTTGCAGTTTTGGACAAGGGAAGTAGAACTGGAGCATCTCATGGGCCTGTGGCACACGTACAGTGGCCACTAGGAGGTGGTGGTGACCAAGCAGTGTTAGCCATCCAGCCATGCTGAGGCTGAGAGTTCCAGGATCAGGGGCTTTATCGCTTCCTGTCCTTGGGCACAGAACTGGCCTTTGGTGTGACTCAGCTTGAGGTTCAAAAGCAGAGGCAACTGGGAACTGTTTCCATTCCCTGTCTGCCCTCCCCCATGGTATCCCCGTCCCCTTAGTAGGACAGAGTCTGTGTAGCCTCAACTCTGACTCCTCATTGTTCCCCATTTCCTTAGCTCTTACTTGCCCCCACCCCAATCCCCATCATCATCTTCTCATGGACCCTGGAGAGGACTTGTCTGTTTCTGATTCCTGGGCTCAGACGTGTGTTGGGTGCTTGGAGCCCAGGGTGAGAGCGGATTGGCTGATTGCTGAAGTTTTCTCGCCTCCACTACAGGTCATCTTCCACGATGTTGCTGCGCTGACGGACAAGCTCTTCCCTGTGGTGGAGGCCATGCAGAAACACTTCAGTGCTGGCTCAGGGACCTACTACAGTGATGCCATCTTCTTCCTCTCAGTTGCCATGCATCAGATCATGCCCAAAGGTAACGTGGACTGAGGAGCAACAGCCCTACGTTGTCTGATTCTGTATGCATTTCCCTGGTTCCTGCGTGGCTGGTGCCCTGTCTCAGGTGAAGAGCTCTACTGAGATGTGTGAGAGAGGGCGAGGAGTCAGCCAAGCCCTGTGGGCAATAGGGCTTTTTGCACTTAGAATTAAAGGTGGTCCCTGGTTTTTGTGGCTCCTGGGGTCAGGTCATGAAGACATAGTTTGATTTGTGCAGTGTAGTGTCCCTAGGCACAGGGGACCTAGACTGTGGCCCTGAGTTTGCCCCTTGCACTCAGCTCCCCACTTCCCCAGGGCTTAGCTTGCATATCTGTAAGATGCCAGGTAGCACCAGGTTGTCCATCATCTAAATTTGTGATCCTTTCTGATTTTGAAAAGATAAAACCTGGATATGTGAGGTACAAATTGTGGATCTAGTAGAACTTTTTTTTTGAAACTCTTATGCACATTAGAGGAGTTTCTGGGCTTCTGCCCCTCTAGGGAAGAAATAATGTGTAGCCTGTAATAGGTGCAGCTTGTGAGGAATTCCTAGCAGGTTGATCATCCTTTGCCAGAAACTTTGGAGGGGCCTTATTTGTGGGGTGTCCCTGGCTTCTGGATTCTCTTTCTAGTGATCCTTGATTGGTTCTGAAGCCCTGGATATCATCTAGTTTCTGGTCATACAACCATGTTGTATGCCTTTTAGCGGTGAGAAGGGGTATTTTGGGGTAGCGGTTGGGGTAGCGGTTTTCCTAATTGTGGTTGATTAGCTTTTCCAACAATTTCCCAACCAATAGGACTTTATAGCCAAGTGGACAGCCAGGCCACTTGGTAGAGGTCTGCTGCTCCGGCTTAGCAGACCAGAAGTAAAGGAGAAGCCAAGAGCCACCTGCAGACTAGAAGGGCCTGGTCAACCAGGGACTTAGGAGGTGAGAGTTGAACCCCACCTCCTGTTGGCGGTATCATATTGCAGGGAAAAGCAAGCCCATCTGTTTTGACTGAAACTCTACAGGTGAGTTCTGGTATCAGGGAGGTCTTTGAATGGTCTCTTAGATATAAGACAAGGACTTAGGGGCACCAAGCAGGGGTGAAGAAGAAAGGAGGACAGGGTGAACTAGCATTTGTGATCCTTTACAGAAAATGAGGTGAAGCCACCAAATCCTACCCCATTCCTATGAGGTGACAGGTAGGGCTGCCTAAGGATTTGCTTCCCTTGCCTCGGGTTATAGACCCACTTAAGTAGCAGAGCTGGGATTTGAACCCAGGTCTCCCTGGCTTAGAGTCCTGCAAATAGCAGCTACTTCTATCTCATTAGGTGGCACGTATGAGACTACTGTATTGGCCCGGTGCAGGTGCCATGGGCCGCTCAGACTTGAGGAAGCTGGTCTCATCTCTGACCAGTCATGTATGTGCCTTTGGCTGAGCTGCTTTGTCTCTCAGGACCTCAGCTTCCTCACCTGTAGACGGAGGCCTGCACCAGTGAGCTATTGCAGCCTGCATTCTGATCCAGGGCTCATAAAAATCTCCCTAGGGTTTGTGTTGTTCTGGGGAGCCCGGGGAAGAAGAGTTTCATCATCACCCGCTCAACTCTGGAACCCCATCTTACTCCTCAGTGTCTTTCTTGACTTGCTTTGTGTATCAGGGTTTGGCATAGGATTCTGTTTAGTCAAAGAGTTCCATGGGCTAATCAATTTGAAATGGCTCAGCTAGAAGGGTGGTAAGGATCTAGTCTGACCAGTCCTGTCATTCTGCATGTGTGATTGGCCTTGATGCCAGAGGACAACAAGAGGTACAAGAAGAAGCCTGCTGCCCAACTTATGGTACCTCCTTCCCTCCCTCTGTCCACTGCCAGGTCCCTGCCTGCTGGGAGCTGAGCTCTAAGCCAGGTTGTGCTTTGATGTGCCCAGCAGGAGGTGAATGGCAGCTCTCTCCAGTTATGGGGAGAATCAGGTGCTAAATAAAGAAGGGCTAGATGACAAGCTAGAGAGTTGCCTGGCCACCCTGGCTTTATGATGAGAAGTGTAAGCCAGGAAGGCTACTCTGGCCCTCTCCCACTTTGTTAGCTGAGTAGCTTGGGCTTGCTTGCGGGCCATGTCTTCAGAGAACAGGCTCTGGTGGGAGCTCTGCCATGGGTCAATAGGTGGTTCATCATGGGGCCCATCACGTGTGGGCTGTGGCCCTCCTGGGGCTGGCATGGGAAGGTGCAGCTAGTTGTTTCAGCCCAAGCACCCAATCTTTTTGGATTTTTTAGCTGAATGATAATGTGCTTCCAGAGATTCATTTTTGCTTATGCCCAAGATCTACTTCTTAAGAAAGGAGACTTTGAGAGTCACTAAAACTTGATAGTCATAAAACAAATGGGCGCACTGGAGCTTCCTGTGGCGTCTGGGGCGTGTTCTACTAGGAAGTCTGGCTGCCACTCAACACTCCGTGGAGTTGCCAAGTTCTTACTGGGTAGGTCATTTGGAATTCCTGCAATTTTCGGAAGGACACCGTGTTTTCACATCATTAGTGCTGTCTTGAGATGGTGGAGGTTCTTTATTATATTCTTTTTTATATTTCTTTTTTAATCTTAGAAATTATTGTTCTGTGCTTTGGTTAATGGTTTTGTTCTAGAGTAATTGCTGCATTCATGCTATTTTGGTTGTTTCATTTCTTTTTTCCTTGTTTTTTTTTTTTTTTTTTTGTACTGTGAATGTAACCCAGCAACACTTTACCACTGAACTACATCACCAGACCTTTTTATTTTTTATTTTGAGACAGGGTCTCACTAAGTTACTAAGTGTCTTTCTAAGTTGCTGAAGCTGACCTCAAACTTGTGATCCTTCTGTCTCAGCTTCCTGAGTCACAGGTGTGCACCTCCAAGCCTGCTACTATTTTATTTGTTTTCTAGTATTCTTTTTTTCCTAAGAGTGAGGATGGGGTGGGTGGGACCTGAGCACCTGGGCCACATCCAGGAAAGTTGGATCTGCTAAGCTGCTGCTCCTCTGAGTTAGGAGTCTGGAGTTTTGTGTAGGGTTCCTGAAATGCAGGTTCTTTCTGTCTCAACTTCTCTTTTCTTCCCTTCCGTAGAATAAGGGTCACCCTTCTGTATCTAAACTACTTTAAAAATAGATTTACTGCTTTTATTTTATTTTTTTCCTGGTGCAGGGGACTTAAACCAGGACGACTGAACCCACCCCTAGCCCCGTTTACTTACTATTCTATTTTAAAAGTAGCAATCATTCATAAAATATCTGAGAACAACAATAAAACAAAAGAAAGCTAGCTGGGCGCTGTGGTACACAACTGTAATCCCAGCAACTCGGGAGGCTGAGGCAGGAGGATCGTGAGTTCAAAGCCAGCCTCAGCAAAAGCAAGGTGCTAAGCAACTCAGTGAGACCCTGTCTCTAAATAAAATACAAAATAAGGCTGAGGATATGGCTCAGTAGTTGAGTGCCCCTGAGTTCAGTCCCCAGTATCAAACAAAAACCAAAACAAAACAACAATAGAAGAAAGCTGTTCTTTACTATCATATAAATACCATCAATATTAATTCCTTGATCCTCTTCTAGCATTTTCCCCACATGTGCCATTTTTAAAATTTAGGCAAAGTTGGAGTTATTCTTTATATTCAGATCATTCTGAGCTTTTTATATGTAGAGCTGTGAAATTGAACTTTCATTTCAACTAAAAATGAAGGAAATGATACAAGTAAAACTGTGTTATCATTTTTCTAGTTAATGTCACACATCTGTACAGTTATAATCTTCGAAAATTTTTGGAATCGTTCAATGAATGGATGAAATTTGATTCATCCATTTATCATGTCCCTGTTTTCAGCTAGCAGGATGCTTACTGTTTTCTTTCTAATACCATAAATTAAACTGTGATAGTTGTCTACATGCATAAAGATCGTCTTGTTAGGACAAGGGTAGAATTATGAGGCCAGAGGTGATCTTTTCAAAGCCAGGGTATGTCAACTCCCCTCTCCCCTCTGTGTTGTCTGTACGGGTAGGTTCTATACAGTTTTCTAGGTCCATTAGGGTCTGACCTCTCCTGGAGTTCAGGTAGCTGCAGAAGTTTCAAGTCAGTTGGAATCCTGCTTGACAGGAGAGGAAAATGGGGAGTTGAGACTTAGGCCACTTTGATAAGTCCTGGGGTGAGCTGGGTCTCCCCCTGGGTTTCCAATCCCTCTGTCCATGCCCATTCTGATGTTCTGACCTAAGGCCCTGTCCCTACCCCTGTACCACTGTAGAACTTGGCCTCTGCACCTCTCTTCTTGCCCCCTTGCTGCAGCCCTGCACTTGGGGCCTGGCTGGGACAGGGTTGGGATCAGCAGTCTCATGTGTTGTGTGTGCCCTGACTGCTCCCTTTGGAACAGTGCAACCCAAAACCACATTGGCAGAGCGGTGCCCCAGGAGGAACAGAGGAGCCCTGCCAGGCGGGACATACTGGCTCGGATTTTGGTCAGTGCTTGTTTGTCTTTCCATTGCTTGTTTGAGGGGTTATGTGGCTGGCTGGCTGGTTCTGTCGTTCCCACAGCAGCCTGTCCATGTGTTCTCCACAGCCTGAAGCCACTCTCTGCTCTTCTCTCACACCCCCAGGGCTTTTATCTCCTTCTGTTGGTATTAGCTTTGTCACCAATGGAAGCATTTTATGTTGTGGAAAGGAAAACATTTTTGCCCAATTGGAGCTGGAGGGAGCAAAAAGCAGCTCCTTCAGGACTGCCAGCTTTCCTTCCCATTGTCACACTGCTCTGAGGAGCTGTCGGCTCCAGCCTGGTGACATGGGGGAAAGCTGCCCTGGCAAGCTGGGCCCAGAGGCGTGGTTGTGGTTGGGCCTCCTGGGCAGGGCAGGCAGGCGCCAGACAATCAGCAGTGCCTCAGACCAGCCAGAGTCCCCCAGGAGACTTTTCTGTGGTCCCACATGCACCCTGGAAGGTCGTCGTGTCCTGTGGTCAGCATGAGTTGGTAGACAGCCATGGCCAAGGGTCTGCTATTGGCAGGATGCAGTGCCAGC